TTTAGGATTAAATGAGAAAGCTTGTAAACCATCTAGAACCGCCTAGAACTGAATAGGAAACCCATAAATGTTAGGTACTTCCTTTATTATTATTTTTATATATAAAAAGAAACAGTCCTCAAAATCTCTCACAGTGTATCAGTCAGGGTTCTTCAATGCAAGCATCAGAAATCATCCTGGCCAAAATAAAGAAAAAGGGCATTTATGAAAGGATATTGAAAGTCTTAGAGAATTGCCAGGAAAGCTGAAGAGCCAGGTATGGAAGATGGGCTGGAACCCAGAGAGGCCACCCAACCAAGACTACAAGTAAAATCACACCTCAGAGCAGCTTGGCGGCTTGACCTCTACCTCAGCTGATTATAGACAAGGGATGCTGTGCCGTCTCATTGGCAAAACCAGTTCTCCATTGTCCCTGCTTTTTGCATCCATTACTTGCTCCTGATTCAAAAAGCTCTGAGTAAGAGATCGGCCTGGCCATGCCTGGGGCCCAGGGCCTGTACTACAGTTGGGGTGGTCAGGGAGGTGGCTCTGAACTTTCTGACTTCATAGCTGAAACTCCTCAAAAAACCAAAGAGAACTCAGATGTCAGGCAACCACAAAAGACCGCTGCCCAGGGTCTACTCTGGTGATTTATCGCATGTTCCCATACCATCTCTGTCTAGATAAACATTCATTCTCAGGTGTCGGATCTTTCTGTTTTGGGAACTCCCCACCAGCCTAGTGCCACTCTATTTTCAGAGGCGATTTGGACCTTTCTTTCTTCTGCCCAGAGTGCTCCCTCTCCTCTGCCATCCCCTTTTCCACCACCGGTCCTTGAACCGCCCATTCTGCAAACACCAACTCGGATGCTACCTCTCCTTTATGGTGGTGCCTCCTCCCCACCCAAGACAGCTTGCTCCTCCTCCATGTTCCCAAGACACTTACTCTATCGTCGCATTTGATCTACTTTACTTTGAATATGTGTTATGCCTTTAGTAGTTCGAACTTCCTCCCTCTCCTGGACCCAGGAGAAAGTTCCTTAGGGACAAGAAGTCGATCTTATTCATGTTGGTTGCCTTGGTTCTCAGCACCTAGTAGATGCTTAATCCGTGTATAATGTATATCCGTTAAGCAAAGCGTACATTTTGACTCTCTCCTTACAGGCACAGACAAGTTCATAGCAATAATCCACGGGAATGCGCCCTGCAAACCAGTGTTGGGTAGACTTGAGCCCTTATAACTGTTTACCTCTTTCCAGTTTTACATCTTTTCGGCTGAAAGGCTGTCTGTCCTTATTCTACCTCATCATATTTTAACAGGAGAAAGTAATGACGCGGGACTCCCGCCCACCCCCTTCAGTTCCGCGGAGCCTCCTGGTTCCTCGCACGGTCAAGAAGGGAACCAGACGGCGGGGCGGGGGTTCAGTCAAAGCAGACGCTCGCCCGGAGGACCTGCCGGTCCAAGTCCCGTAAGAAGTTATGCCACGTGCCCGCAGCCGCCCACGCCGGTCGCCGGCGCTCTCCAGGGGGGCCGTGGCCAGGAGCCCCCGGACGCCCCTCCC